TACAATAATGTTTTATCACTGATTACATCATTGCTTAGTTAATCTTGAATTAATTTTAAGCTAGCCCGTAATGCTATGCATATAAGTGGCTTTGGCATGCTGCTCTTACCTGTATTTTTTGTACCTCTGTATGTATGTTCAAATTATTAAATAAATAAATAATTATGATACTAAACTAATTTATCTTACTAGCTAATGGATTGTTACAAGTAGTTTAAAAAAATACAGAGATACAGTTTACTCTTAATATGGTACAGATTTGATGATTTAATATTGAACGGTTATAGTTTTAGAGTTTGACAAAAGTTGTAGATTTAGTTTAGAAGTTTGCTGAACACAATAAAATTGCTTAGTACTGGAAGTGATAATTAAATTAAAAGTTTGCAGGTAATGGGAGTTACAAAGAAATAAGAGAAAACAAAAATAATAGTTTATAATAATAGATTAAAATAAGTACAGTGGTACCTTGACTTATGAATGCCCCAACTTACGAGTTTTCTGAGCCATCGCTTAGTTGATTTTTTGCTTCGAGTTGGGAGCCAAAATCCAAGTTATGAGCGAGCTTCAGATATGCCGCCACTAGCAGGAAAGAGGAAATATCAAAACCTCGATAATAACCAATGTGTAACATCCTTTTAATTTTGATACCACTGGTAGTGTCATCCTGCAAGAATGTTCTATAACGTATGCCCTAAGTAAAGAGAAACAATTCTTGAATGTGTGTAATACATGTTCGGCAGGCTGGCTGGTTGGGTGGCTGACTGGCTGGCTTACAGCTGGCTGGCTGGCTGATCTGTTTTGGCTGTCTCTATCTCCTTCTGTCTGTCTGTGTATCTGTCTATCTCTGTCTCTATCTCACAGGTACACATAAATACAGTTATACATAGTGTATAAAAAATCCAGACAAAGTGCTGTACTGTGCTTGTAGATATAAGGCATAATAAACATGACTCGCAAGTAATACACATTTTCACTTGTTTCAGGAATCATAAGTGATCGAGACTGCATCGTGTGTAATACCTGTTGGTTCATGAGCGGCTCTCTCTGAGACAGACACAGGAAGACAAACACAGGCAGACAGAAAGACAGATAAGCAGAGACAGAGCTAGACATAAATAGACAAACAAATACAGAAACAAATAGACAGAAACAAATAGACATGTTTATTGTAACAGTGAAAAATAAATCTAAGGCAGTGCACGATCATCAAATGTCACTCCTCGAGTGACACTCCACTGGCAGTGGAGTGACAGACAGACAGAAACAAACAGACAGACATATTTATGTGTAACAGTGAAAAATAAAGCCAAGGCAGTGCACAATCATGAAATGTCACTCCATAGGCAGTGGAGTGACACTCATCTTTCACCTTGCTTCAAGGAGTTTCATATATACTCCAGCATTTCTAAAACATTGCTGGGGCTTGGCGAAAAAGGCAAAAATAATTTCTTATTGATAAATACATTTTTCTTATTTAAAAACCCATAACAAAAATATTGGGATAGTTTTTTGGGGGGCTGGAACGAATTAATGTTATTTCAATTAATTTCAGTGAGGAAAATTTATTTTATATATGAGCAAATTGAGTTACGAGCTCTTTCACTGAACTAATTAAACTCGTAAGTCAAGGTACCACTGTAATTATAAAATACAGGGATTATGCTAACACTTATTAATGCACAAGTTTGGCAATATAATATTGCACTGGTTATCAGTTCTGTAATAATAGTTTATAATAGTAAGCAAGTAATGGTAAGTTAAAAATAAAAATGGAAATAAAAAGGGAGAATATAGTGATGATTTGTACTACAGCAATATGGGCTAATAGTAATTATGGTGGTGAACAAAATTTAAGTAATATTAATTAAAAAATATAAAAAAAAAAGAAAGAAATAATTTCTGTTACAAGTACAGTGAACCCTCAGTTAACGATATTAATCCATTCCAGAGAGCTTGTCCTTAACCGATTTTATTGTTATCCAATTTAATTTTCCCCATAAGAAATAATGGAAATCCAATTAATCCATTTCAGACAGCCAAAAGTATTAACAAAAAATGTATTTTTTTTAAAGGTTAAATATAGATATACATACAGAAAACAATGGCAAATAAATATAAAGCACTTATAAAATGGATAAATGAACATTTCACATCACACTTACCTTTATTGACTCGTTGGTGTATGGAAGACAGGTAGAAGGCAAGAGAGAAGTGAGAAGGAGGCGAGTTATTATGCTTCAATATGATGCTAATATCATCTCTATGGCTTATTTATCTATCACAATTCATCTAACATGACATAATAAACAATATTAATAACATAGAAACATGATATATACAGTGGACCCCCGGTTTACGATATTTTTTCATTCCAGAAGTATGTTCAGGTGCCAGTACTGACCAAATTTGTTCCCATAAGGAATATTGTAAATTAGATTAGTCCATTTCAGACCCCCAAACATACACGTACAAATGCACTTACATAAATACACTTACATAATTGGTTGCATTGGGAGGGGATCGTA